GGGATCACATTTTTTTAATGTTTTTAAGGGGGGATAAAAAAAAATATTGAAATATCATGGGGGATCAAGAAAATTTTATATGTTTGATTTCAAAATGACCAGCCCCCCTCCCAGGTAAATAATGATAAGTCTCTTAACTCTTTGTTGACTTTATACAAGACCAAGAAATTTTAGAACCGATATAAATGATGTTGCTAATAACTACGGATCAAGATTTTATAGATATCACAAACTGTTTGCGGCTAAGGCCGCGAATGCTATAATAGAACATAACATCGCCATTAACTGGGGAAAGGTAGACGATTTTGCATTTGGTAATGAATGTATCGTGAAGAAGAGAATGCGAACACTGTTGAGATTACAGCCACACAACAAAGTGTTGCCAGAAACAAATACATCAACAAACCGATTAATGCGCCCCGTATTACACGACAAACACTCGAGTTATAGATAAAACAAAAAAAAAGTGTATGGGAGGAGTATAGTTCAAGTAGAGGGTCATGTGCCCTCGTGATAACGTCCAAACTGTCCTTGTGAGTTACCTTTGGTGTTTCAATTTGTCGCTCATTATTTATATGCAGGTTAAATTGATACAGGAATGACACAGATTAACTTGTACACAAAGACATGCTTGGAATAGCTTGACCTAGAAAATTATTTTAAGACTTTCTGTTCTGTAAACCTACTACCAACGACAGAATTGCTTTATAATTACCCGTGTCATCATAGATATACTTTCCGAACAGAATATTGGATACCGCCCAATTAGTACAGAAAACCATAAATATTTAGATTACATACTGTACAGACACAATGTGTTTTCTACTCTCCGAACAGGGTAACTATTCGGTCCCTTACTCGTATTGGTGCATCGTTAATCAAATGTTTATTATTCACAACACTTTGATAAGGGTTTTGTGGAATTATTAGATTCTAATTGTTTAGCATTACTTAAATGCTTCACACATCTACATGGTTTTGTATTTCAATGGTTGAAAATTATATGAACGTCTTAATTTTGTCTTGATTCGGAGAAAACAGAAAGTAGTCGACCGTGAGCTCGGACAGTTTTCATTACAGAACATACCGTTTTTACCGGATTTTCGAAGTAAAAATCGGTTATTGATTTAGGGATGTACGGCGGGCGGGCGGCTGTCAAACAGTGTCCGTTCATTTACATGAAAACGCTTTGAAGAAATTTTTTTCAAATTTAGATATGTTGTTTCCTGTTACTAAGTGAAGGTCAAGTTCAATTTTCACGATTTTAGCTTTTCACGTTGTTCAGTTATAACCCTTTCCCAAGAATTCAATTTTTGATGAATTAATCCATTTCTTACTTACTGTTATTAAAGTTGAAGGCATATGGCCTGTCAAAGGAGGCACTAAAACGTATTGACAACTATCTGTCGAACACAACACAATGTGTAAAAGTTGGTGCATATTTTAGTACCAAGCAAAATATTTACAAAGGTGTACCGCAGGGCTCAATCTTGGGTCCTGTGCTTTTCAATATTTTTCTTAACGACATATTAAATTTTGTAAAATAAAATGAGTTGTACAACTATGCAGATGACAATACATTGTCACACTCAGGACCAGATCTAAACGGATAAGTTAAATCTTTGGAAAAGAAAGTGTTGTTTTAATAGATTGGTTTCCTAATAACAAAATGAAAGCTAATCCGGATAAATTTCAGGCTATTGCCATTGGCAATAAATCTAAAAGTGGGGATATTAAATTCAATTTGGAAGGGAATGAAATTTTATGTGACACTGAGGTAAAGCTCCTGGGAGTGACAATAGATTATCAACTTAAGTTTAAAGCAGATATTTCTGAAATTTGTAAAAAAAGCATCAAGGCAGTTAAATGAACTAAAACGAATCGGGGAAACATCTATCTAAATTGGGAAGGTTAACTATTTACCACTCATATATTATGTCTTATTTCAACTATTGTCCTGTGGTTTGGCAGTTTTGTGGGGAGGGTTACACTTAAAAAATGGAAAAAATACAAGAACGTGCCTTTTGAGGTTCATCTATGAAGATGTTAGTAGTGACTATAAAACACTTTTGTTAAAAATCTGGTTTACCTTCTTTAAAAATAAGACGTCTACGAATGATGGCAATAGAAGTTTTTAAAATATTACACAAAGAGTTTATCTCCATATTATTAATTTTAAAAAATTAATGTACCTTACTCTTTTAGAAAGCAACATACTTTGAAGTACCACAGGTTAGAACAACACAATTTGGACTTCATTCATTAAGGTATGCTGGAGCTACACTCTGGAATGAGGTGCCTGACGCGATCCGTGCGCAGTCGAACCTGAACCAGTTTAAAAGTATGATCAACAACTGGAATGGCAACTCATGCAGATGTGGCTGATTGCAGATCTAAGAGCTTTTGTTTTTTTTTTTTTATGCTCACCGGGGCCCGAAGGGCCCCATGTGAGCTTATTCCATCACTTGGCGTCCGTCGTCTGTCGTCGTTCTCGTCTGTCGTCGTAAACTATTTAAAAAATCTTCTCCTCTGAAACTACTGGGACAAATACCTTCAAACTTTAACTAAATGTTCCTTAGGGTATCTAGTTTATAAATTGTATCCGAAGTTTGATCCATCGACAAACATGGCCGCCATGGCTAAAAATAGAACATACGGGTCAAATGCAGTTTTTGGCTTATATCTCAAAAACTAAAGCTTTTAGAGCAAATCTGACATGGGGTAAAATTGTTCAATTGGTCAAAACTATTAGCTCTGAAATTTTCAGACGAATCGAACAACCCATTGTTGGGTTGCTGCCACCGAATTGGTAGTTTTAACAAAATTTTGCAGTTTTTTGTTATTATTTGGAATATTATTATAGATATATATAAACTGTAAGCAGCAATTATGTTCAGCAAAGTAAGATCTTCAAAAAAGTTAATATGACCATAATTGTCAATTGACCCCTTCCCAGTTAACACAAAAATGTTTTTAAAATATATTTAAAATATATTGCACTATATCACAAAAATATCATAAAAAATATTTTATTGAGGTTAAATGTATGGCTGTACTAATGTGAATTACATATTTTAAGGAAATATTTTTATTGTATGTTTTAAAAATATTTTTCTTAAACATTATTTTTAATATCTAAATAACATAATAAAGATATTTTTTCAATATTGATTGAAAACATCAGCACAACATTTAAAATTGAGAATGGAAATACATTTTCCCAAATCGATTGGCTAATCATCCTTTCAAAATGTTTTATGGATGTTATATAAATGTTTTAAAAATATTTTAGGCATGTTTTACTGAAACATTTAAAATAAATGTGAAAAAAAAATATTTCAATAATGTTATATGTATGTAAAATGATAAAATGTTTTTACAACATTTGAGTAAAACATTTTTAACATCACAAAAATGTTTTCTGGATATTGAGGTTAAATGTATTGCTGTAATAATGTGAATAACATATTTTAGGAAAATATTTTAATTGAATGTTTTAAGACTGTTTTTCTTAAATATCATTTTTTATACTTTAATGACATAATAAATATATTTTCTAATGTTATTTGAAAACAAATGGACCTGCATTGCTGTGTGTAATTGATTGAAATTTCAAACTATCTGCAAACAGAGAGTATAGCTGCAAGGCAAATGTAAAAATTGCTTGCACCCTTCAACGCAACATTATAAAGCTGTAGACCAAATATAAAATCAGTCCCTTTCATAGGAGAAAGGCTGAAGATCCAAAGGGGTATTCAATCTCAGAAGTCGAAGACAAACTGACAACACCATGATAAAATATGGAAAAGGACCAAAAAGATAAACAATGAAAAATAAAGACTGAGCAACACAAAACCCCACCAAAAACCAAAAAAAAAAAAAAATAGAAGCCAAGAAACTGTTGACGCATTTGGATAGACAGACAACAGCAGACTTAAAAAAAAAAGCAGCATATTTTAAAACATTTTTTACACATTTACATGACATACAGTACATGTCGGACTATTTTCCAAATATAATTTATAAATTAAAGTTTATATGTTTAAATTGATTTTTATCATACGACTTCTGTAAATTAAGAGTTGTGCATGATTAGGGTTATTCCATTAAAATGTATGTGGGAGGGTAGGAAGGGACTTTTAAAATATCCCTACAACCAAGAACCATTTTTAGATAATTTTGCATAATGGTAATAGACACATACCGAAAAAAGACCCATGACCAACATTCAATAATTAAACTTCCCTTCCTACCCTCCCACATACATTTTAATGGAATAGCCCTTACCCACCATTTTCTTTAATAATATAAAAACAAGAATGCACATGTTGTAGTGCTAAGCTTAGCCCCACTTGTAATTCGAAGTATCCGAAAACAGGGAGCATACAGGTGTCTGACCAATCTGAACAGTGCTCCTGTTACAAAATAATCCTTCCAAGCTATTGACTTAATATGAAGTCATTCTGTTTTGTAGTATTGGACAAATGTGACACTAAGTTTTTAGTTCATTCAACATATAAAAAAATTCGTAATACATTGTAAGTGGCAAACAGGATGTAGTTGTCCGACAGATTCAAAAAGTGCTCACGCTTTACTAATCAAGCTGCTGACCAAAAAAGTGGGGTTAAACAATTTGTGAGTGCTCAACCTTCCCCCTTATCTGGGACAGAGGTATGGCAGTGCATCATCAGAACCACAAAAACCAGTCAATAAGAGTTTGACTCATACAAAAATCAATAGACACAACTTACCAACCCAAGAGTACTTGCTGTAACCAAAAGCAAGTTCTATGGCAAATTTCAACTAATAAATACATCGTGTATTTCTAGATTTAAATATTAACCAGATCACTTCAAAGGGATTTAGAATAAATACATCATTAGGGGTCTTGGAAAAGCATAACCTTTTGCAATGCCAAAATAAAGTATTGACATGATAATTTCTTCATGTTCTCAGATCTTTTAATTGTGGCTATAAATAAAGATTAAATTTTCTAAATTGGAATGTAGCATTTTTATTATTTCCAGTAGTGTGTTGTATTCTCAAGTGATTTGACATTGTCTTAATTTGAGTCTGAATCCTCTACAGTACTTCTTCTCTTCTTGTTTGCGTTTTTCTGTAAATTAAAAATATAAAATCAAATCATAAATTTTAAGACATTTTTAGTACATTTTAAATGTTTTTGATATCCCTAGCCCTTGTTTTACAATTGAGATAAAAACTTAGTTTGAAAATATTTATTCAAATAAATCAATACATAGTATATAATTCTGATACATGAAATAAATAGGATTCAGAAACAAGCAAATCTCTCCTAATGTACAAATAAATTTCTTATATGGTCATTATTATGTAAGTATGGCATGTTCTGAAATAGTCAGTTTGTACAAAAAAAAAAAATAGATATTAAAGTTTCATAAAAAAATACTGAATAATTGTGGTAAATAGTGTAGTGTGTTGTGTGCAGAATGAAATGCTTAGGTTTTATAAATGATCGAGCATTTGCATCAAGGATTGAATCGTTTGGTTTTTATTATATATTTCTGTACCGCAATATTTTAATCGATTTCCTACATAGTAATAAGGAGGGACTTTAATATTTTGAGTAAAATTTGTTTCTTAAAAATTGAAAGAGATTCACGTTTTCATGCATTTAAATGTAGTTTATTCCATAATTTGGTTCTCGCTGGGAAAAAATACTCCGATTATAAATAGGTCCGTGTATTATATTAAATAACATTATTGCGTTGTCTTGTATAAAGGTCATGTCTACTTCCCACTGAATCAGGCATAGCCTCTCTAAGATAATCTTGGTGTTTTGTAATTTAAAATTTTATGAATTATGCCATCCTTGATAATTACATGCTTAAATTAACTTAAAACTTCATGAAACTATTAAAAATGCATGCAAAGTTTTTTATAAGATCCAATTTAAAAAAAATTAAAATACCTTCAAAAAGTTTACGCCTCCTGGACAGTTTGGAGCATTCCTTAAAACTTCTGCTATTTCAAACTCATAATCCTTTACAGGAAAACGGTTTTTTGTTGCTCTTTTCAAGGCCCCTACAAATAAATTTAACGTAAAGATTATACATGTTTTAACTAAAACTAAAAATCCACAAAACAGGAACATGGAGAACTTTTTTTTTAGGAATAAATGCTGTATATAGAAGATATAATTTCAAATTTTCAAATATTATCCCTAGTTTCCTACAGGAATAATTGTTTGTTGTCAGATATTTACAAGGTATGACACCTTGAATGGAATAATTGCATTCAATGAATGACATCTTGAGCAGGTTTATAGTTAGATAATATTATTTAATAATGCAGTGAAGCCAGTGATCCCTCAAATTTGACTGCAATACTTAAATTAGCAAGACAACAGGCACGCTAATTTTAAAAATGAGCACAAGAGAAAAACTACAATTTGCGCATACAATCTGTTTATATATAATAGTTTACTATGTAAAATGGTTGTAGATATGTGGTGTATGTTAAACTGTAAAAATATGTCATTCAAATATAGAACACTGGTGGATATGTTATTCAAAAATGAACCATGCGATTTATTACAGATTCACAATAAATCTGAAATGAACTTACTCAAGATGACTTTACAGGTTCTCGTTCCTTTAAAGGGAGTCTTCCCTCTTTGACCGGTCAAACTATACTTTGACATTATTCCATTGGTCAATATGGACCTCATGACCAGTCTTGTTATGCTGGGCAGGTCTCCCCCATCCTTTAGCTTAGCTAATACCATAATCTGTAAAAAAAAAAAACCTTGTAGGTTTAAACTTTTATTAACCTCATAGCTATCAAAGATGTTCCTGCTGTTCAAATATTATTGCTGAAAAACTTTTTCATGTATTCTCTCCATGTAGTCTGTCAAGTCGAGGATGCACATTCCACTGCAACTTGTCAATGTTATCATAACTTAAACATTGTCTTCTCCTGGGAAAGACTATAATTGTAAAATTAAAACTGAATTTTTTGAAAAATGTACCCAAGTTTACTGTTAAGAGAAAAAGAGAAATCTCCTAAGCTAAAAAGCTTTCTTCTTTAAAGGAGAAAAAACTACTTAGATTCAAAACTAAAGTAAATCATAGCCTAATTATATCAAGGCGAAGGCAAACAATAAATATGTGTGTTAAGGGTTTTATCTGATAGAAAAATAGGGTATGTAGAAATATCTTTTTACTCTCTTAAATTTTTCTACTTTTGAGATTAATGCGAGCCACCTGCGATTTGTCAGGAGTCATTACACAAAGTGCCTGTAAAAACTTTTAAGTTATACATTCTGTGACAGATAAACTATAAACAATTGCTGTAAATTCTAAAAATTTTGTGATTTTATATCAATCTAATATAAAAACTTGCATTTTCAATTTTGACACTATTATTGTATGCAGCAATCTGAAATCAAATTAATCAAACTCAGGTTTTTGTCCATTTTCAATAAATAATAATATCATAACAAATGCTTGCAAAAAATTCTGAATTTAAAGTATTTGTTATTTTGGCAAAATAAAAGTACATGTACCAGTTTTTTTCCTGAACTCCTCATCAGATTCTAATTGTTCATTCAGTTGGTCCATCATTTCTTGATTTTTTATTTTCTCAGGAATAAAGTCCTCTACAGACTCTACAACCACCTCCTCTTGAACAATGAGAGTATTTAGAATTGTTGTAACGGCCTTCTTAATGTCAGTTACATCTTTCTGCACTGAAATAAAACTAGTGTTAATATTTTATCCCTGATATTTAAAGAAAATATGTATAAAACTATTGACAGTCACTCCCTTGTTGTTATTGCAAAATATGTCTTAAAAAATCTTTTTTATCGAGAGAAAACTATAATTTAAGCCTTCATTTGTGTTACTATAGTACTGCATTGAAAAAATGAACTGAAAATTATTGCACAATTATGATACTGCTGCTATTAGTATTATGTTAACAAAATTTGTCAGCGATGAATGTGAAAAAAAAAATCACACAAAAATGCATGCTCAAATAAACTAAAGCTAGATACCAATTACAGGATGCTTTTGATTTCTACTTTCTGAGAACAATGCTACTTAAATTTTATACATGGCCATTATATGTAAGTAATCGGTGATCAGAAGTTGATAATTGATGAATGTAAAAATGGACACAAGGTTGCTCACTTCAAGCTAGAAAACCTTTTTCAGGAAGCTTTGTTATTAAGTCTCTGTCAAGAGAAACAATTTTTTTTTATGGGATAGATGGAAGGACAGATAGACGAATGGACAGACATACATGACATATGAAGCTCTATACCTCTGTCCTTTGAAGCAGGGTGAAAAAATCCTTTGCAATATTTGTCGTTTCACTCACTAGAAATCCAATACATAGCAAAGCATATAATTTGGGATGAAGACATATAAATAATGTGTAATATAAAAAAAGTTACTTACTTTGCTTCATCACTGCAGAGTCTCCGTGTGACAAGCGACTTGAAGGTCGATCTATAACAGGTAAATCTTCATGGTTTTCCATGTCTGGTGTCCTTTCAATACTGGAAGTAGAGGGTCTTTTTCCTTCACCACTGGAGGTTGAGGGCATTTGTAATAGACCACTGGAGGAAGAGGACCCTTGTCCTTCACCACTTGAGGTAGAGGGCCTTTTTCCTTCACCACTGGAGGTAGACTGTATTTGTGTTTGACCACTGGAAGTAGAGGATCTTTGTCCTTCACCACTTGAAGTGGAGGGCAGTTGCCTTTCTAAATTGGAGTTTTGCTGATCTCCTTGAGCTGTCAACTGTTCTTTAATAGATGTCTTTGGTTCTCCACTTTTTTCTCCTGCAAATGAGAAAAAAAAATTGTCAAACTATATATATATACCTTTCTCCTAAAAGCACAAACACATGACCAACAGAACATCACTTTTTCATACATATGGGGAATGTATGTGTAGACCGAAATACATTGTTTTAGTGAATCCCATTTCTCTTTGTTAATGCAAAAAAATATAAACAAGAACATGTCCACAGGACACCATGCCCTGTTCACACTAAGTCCACCTCTCATTAGTAGATTATCATATAATAGTTTATATTATAGGCCAAAAAAAAATATATGTCTGTTTAAGGTTACATACTTTAAAAAAATACAGTAGGTAGGTCGGTATTTCCATTTTATTTTTTGTGACATGATTTTGATTCATGCCGTTTCGTCTTGTCGTAGTCCGAATTGATCATGGACCGAGTTTACCCGTATTTTTAATGATTGGATTATTTCCCTTGGAAAAAAATGGCGGCAAAGTGTTTATTTCATCACACGAGTTGCGAATTTCCTTAAAACAGCTGTCATATTCACGATTGTGAACATTAGGATGTATCAGGCAATTGATTTATATTATTTGCAACACTAACTTTGCTTTTGACACGAGTACAGTTTATTTTTCACTTTACGACGGAAATAAAATGACTTAGGGTCGGCGCTCAAAAGTAGGGACGGTCGGGTAACCGTAAACAGACATATATTTTTTTTTGGCCTTATGTATATATAAAGTGATCATTATTATGATTTTTTTCCCTCCTGAAATCTAGTAAAAACAGGTTGATGTATCCTTAAACAAATAAATCTAAAACCCTTTTAGAGTATTAGAAAATACTTTTTAACTAAAATTGTTGTTGGAATGAGTATCTTCTTCAGTGTACTCACCATTTTTGTAAAGTGGTGTCTTCGGAATCTTCTCCTGGCTGTTAATTTTCTCATCTGAAAACACACATAACATAAACAAGTCAAGTTTAATTTGAAGTCTTAAATACTGGTAATTATTCAAATTTGTTTAGAGATTTTCCTAACTTTAAAATTATTATTAAAATTTTCATACAAGTATTTAAATACTTGGGTCAGTTCAAAATTGCTCATTGAACTTACCTTTTTTCTGCACCAACTTTGGCTGTTTTTCTTGCACAAACATTTTGTCATCTGAAATTACAAAATAGAACTTATTAAACAAAATTTTTTCTCAGGTTTTCTAAAAAAGCATCTATTCGAAGTTTGCTATGACGTCTGATGACCTTTTAAGAACTTGTTTGGGTCGTCAGAGTGCAGTCTCTAACATTTATTCAGGTACTATCCCCTGTATCACAAACAAAAGCTTTATTCCCATTAACCCATTGTTTTCAGCAAAATGCACCAAGTCTAAGCCAAGCAAATACCTCAACTGAAGACTTAAAATATACACTATAATAATGATCTATTTCGATGCCTTGAAAAACATTGCCCAATCACCATTACAGTGTACACTAACATATAACTGACAATAATTAACCAGAGAAGATTGCATATATTTTCCTACCCTCACTTGATTCCTCTGCTTTGGCTGCATATCTATGTGGCCTTTTTCTGCTCCTTTTTTCAGAATCTTCATTGGATGACTCCAAATTAGATGTAACTTCAGCCTTTTTCATTGCTACCACTGAATCTGAATAATCTTTGTATTCTAAAAGTAACAAAATAAGAAAGCATCATACTTTCTCCTTTAAAATACTAACTAATAGTCAAATAGAAAATGCTTTCACAAATGAAACAAGCTCTATGTCCTTAAATAAAAATTTGAAAATATGTTTGATATAATAAAAATATACAGGATTCATTTAATAATGGTGCAAAACTGTGGTATATGACATTCAGCATGTTCAGTGTAGAATGTGATACTGATATACTTAAAAACTATGAAAAAAGATTATGGTTTTAAAAATTTCTGTTATAATTAAATTTTTTAAATAATGGAGTTTTAATTCTTGTAAAGATACATACACTTTTTGCAAATTATTGTAAAATTTTGTTGGGAGTTTCACTAGACATCTTATGATTTTAGAGATATTTTTTAATGTAAAAGCTATCCCTATAAGCAAAACATTTATACTGAGGATTCTACTTGTTTTCCTGGTTGTAAAAATATTGCATTTACCTGATTTACCAACTATCCGACAATCAAAAAGGTCCCATACTTTCTTGTCTGGAATTTCTTCCCTTATGATTTTTCTCTTCTGATTTTTTAGCGGCCAGTAGCATCTCTCCTAAAAAAAGTGGTTCATTTATCATTACTAGAAGAATAATTATATTTTATTATGTTCTTTTTATTTCATAAAGACATTTTAAAAACAAGAAATTAAAACATTAACTACTGATGCATCAAATAACCACTTTATTTTATTTTTTGGGCACAACAATTGGAGTTACAAATGTATAAAACTAAACTTTTGGTTTATAACAATCTGCATAACATTAACCAGTATACATGTACCCCTTCATTGGAGAGGCGTCAAATTTGTTTAAAAGCAATATTTAAGTTCTCACCTGATCATTTTCTTTGACAACCCATGAACTTGGCACACTTTCAACCTCACTTTCATCATCAAAAATCACCACAACATGAGGCATCTTGAGATTAAACTGTAACAATTTAAAATCAAATCATTTAAACACTGTACAAGATATGGAGTCATTCTTTATATGCACTGTAACTTGTACAAGCACTTCACAATGCAATATTGAAAACAGAATTTACTTGCTCATCTGATTTATTACAGTTGGGGATTCAGACCCCCCTCCCTCCCTAGTCTCACTCCGTCATGTTTTTCCAATTTAGGTAAAAGCTATCCAAGACTATTAGATCTATTAACGCTGTTATCTTTACATGACATTACTTGTGTACTTACATGTAGTGCTAATGGTAGCAGAATCGGATTTACAGGGGGGATGCAGCGCCCCGGTTAATGCATAGACTTTTTACATGTCCCACTCCAAACGTTGCCTAGCTTGGGGCTTTGGGCCCCCCTTTTTCAATATCATGGATCCGCATCTGGGTTGTCTTGAAATAAATGGTGAATTTTATTGTATGGAGGTAAGGGGTCTGAAGGCAACTCTATCAACATTTGATTGGTGACGATTTTTAAAGATAGCCTGATCAATTATAGGAAATAATCAATTAAAATTATATGCATTGCAGGTTAAAATAATATTCACTAACACTCCCCCCAAAAATATATTCATTTCCAGAACAGACCCAATTGGAAAAGTAGTTGACATTATGTATTGTTACAGAAATTATAAGTCATGTAAGTAACAATAAATTATCATCCTATCCATTACACCTAAAATAAAAACATGAAAAATATTGAGATTTGATAAATTTTAATCATGTTTATAAGTTATCTATTTTGAAATCAACATCTTGATACTTCATTATGCAAATTTAGCTACATGACCTATAACTGATTACACTTAAGATGAGACTACTTTCATCTTATTAGACATTTTCTGTTAAGCTTTAACTTTAAGATTCCAAATGTTAATCAAACACATGTTTTTTTTTTATTTCAAAGATCTGCAAATATAAATATTAAATGATGATTTTTGAAAATGTATACGAAATGTAAGCAAGGGACCATCATGCTTAATGAGAAGCATGGTAAGAAAGTGAAGGGACTTGCTTTCATTTCATATAAATATTAAAAAAAACAGCATTCAATAAAAATTTGAAGAAAATGTCAAGTAATTTGCAATACACATAATGCAAATTTTATGTTAGTATCATTGATGCAAATTAACTGTGTGTGTGCAAGAACTAGTGTTAAAACATGTACTTTAACATGTCAAATGACATAAATACCTTGAATGTCATGCAGGAGTGGTAGGAACACAACTTTTCTTCCTAATTTTACTACCATGCACCTCGTCTTTAGTTGATCTCTTCGAATGACTTTTAATTCATAATTTAAATGTTGAAATTTAGTGAATCTTAAAATTCGGGAGTCATATGGTTGAGGATAAAATGACTCCTTGGTATGGTACACTCTACACATATACTTATCATTCAAGCATACTGACTGGATCTCACAGAATTTATAATTATTATTTTCACTTATTTGAAAAGCATTGTTTGGTTCAGAACAGTAAATCCTATTTTGATCAGCGACAGAATAACTAGACTGAATAAGTAATTCCTCCTGAACTCTTTCGACTAACTGAACTGCAGGCTGATTACCACATCTTACTTTTCTTTTTAAGCGTTGCATATAATTTTCAAATTTCCAGGCTGCACAATTTTCAAGAGAACCAAACTGACAAGCATCATCTTTCAAATGAACTAACATGTGTACATTATATACAAGGAACTCTCTGCCATATAATTCCCTTCCTCTCTCTACAAACCATTCCAGTAAATCCTGGGCATAATCACTGTGCTCAGCTGTTAATTTTTCACTGACTAAAATTGATACGGCTATACTCAGGGCCAAAAATTGTCGATAATAGATAGGTTCAAGTACATCTTTCAGAACAAATGCTCCTGTGTACAATAAGAACTGTCGAAATTCAGTTGCCTTCCAGCGATCAATTTCAATTAAAGATCTTGGTTTCCGAACAAATTCTTTAGGTATAAATTTTCGCATTTCAAGTTTTCAGAAATTTGACCAACCAATACGGCTGAAAGTCTAAAATCTGCTCTGGGTCCTCTCATCCATAATAAGATAAGTCGCTTAACCACCCCTAGACAGACCTGGTGCATATAGTCAATCGGAAAATGCTTAATCATATCTACAGGCAATTGAGTTATTGGTGAAAGACCTTTGTGGTGTTCTTCCTGAGACTGACTTTTAAAGGATTCATCCTTTCGTAATGTCAAATTAGACACATCTTGGTAGGTCATACGGCCAACATATACACCTCTCTGCATACATTTGTCACATCCATAATACCCACAATAAAGTTTTGTGTTCTTTACAAGTGCTTTGGCTGGGGCATCACAAATAATACACGATATGGATATTTGAAAGTGTTTTCCATCAAAAACAATGCCACTTGTAAATAATTCACCTAAATCAGTCACTACATCATTCAAAAAATCCAAATTTGATGGTTTATGTGTTCCTACTGAAAAAGAAATTGGGAAAACCTGAGAGCATTTAATGTTGCTGATAGAGCAAAGAACTGGCCAGACACTAGTATTACTACTTTTAAACAAAGGAAGCCCATCAATGTTTAAGGACAAAACAAGACATTGAATGCCTTCAAGCTTTTCTTTAGAAACAGATTGCAAACTGTGTTCTAGCATGTATTTTAGTCCAAAATGATAGTAATGCATGTCAGACACTGTATTCATTACCACTGTTCGAGGCGTTTTTAGTAATGTCCTTGCACATGTTGGTAACACATCTTCAAAACCTTTGCCTCTTAATATTTTTAAAAGGTCATCAAGAGCATTCTGTTTTATTTCAAATTTATTGGCCCAAATTTTTAACTCTTCACCAATGGAAAATAGGTCATCCTCATCAGTTTCAGACTCACTTGTCACAGGTTGCATCATTTCCAACCTATCTAAAACATCCCATTCAGTTCCGTTAATGTCACTACTATCAATTACACTATTACTTTCTGATACCTCTGCAGTGCTACAGGGGACTGCATGTGTTCCATCCATACAAGATAACAGATGGTTTTCCTCAAGAGAAGTGTTGTCTGTTGTATTCAATAATTTGACAGCCTCTGTATAAGAAAATCTGTATCAGATTCAGATGAACATGTATCAATATGGTCTATTGAATTCTGTTTCAAATTGGTACATGTATCGTCTGGCAGTTTTCTCTTGTACGATATCCACTTTTTATTGTATTCCTTGCGCCTTGATCTTAAGTTTGTTGTACTTCTTATTCTGGCCTTAGAATCCATGACTTATTCCACTTTAATCTACAAAAATAGAAGAAGAAAAAAAAAAAACATGCAACTTTACATTTTTATTGATGCACAATATTTTCAATTTGAAATGTACAGCCTGTTTTATCCTAAAATTTATTGAAATGTCTCGCCTGCTTTACTAACCATGATTGATTTTATGTTGATAGTCTTAAAGATGAAGTTTTACTACAAGTATCACATAAACTTAAAATTATCAATAATCCATGAAAATGAGGTCAAGTCCAGATAAACCGAGCCATACAGACATGTTCACCCTACAATCATGCTATACACCAAATATAGTTGACTTATTGCTTATAGTATTAGAAAAACAGACCAAAATACAAAAACTTAACATTGACCAATGAACCGTGAAAATGAGGTCAAGGTCAGAGGAAACCTGTCAGACTGATATGTACCCCTTACAATCATTCCATACACCACATATAGTTGACCTACTGCTAATAGTATCTGAGAAACGGACCTAATCACATAACTTTAACCTTGATCACTGATCCATGAAATGAAGTCGAGGTCAGGTGAACCCTGTCTGACGGACATGTAAACGTTGCAAGGAACCCATATACCAAATATAGTTATCCTATTACTCATAATAAGTGAGAAATTCACATGACAAAAAAACTATATTTTTTCAAGCAGTCGCTGAACCATGAAAATGAGGTCAAGGACAATGGACATATGACAGACGGAAATTTCATAACATAAGGTATCTGCATACAAGGTATGAAGCATCCAGGTCTTCTACTTTCTGAAATATAAAGCTTCATACAAATAGTTTATGCCGTCGTCGCCGGATAGTAATACCTATGTCTCACTCTGTGACTTTCGTCGCAGGCAAGACAAAAACCCTTATTTATCTGCACAAGTGCAAATTTTTCTTCTGGTGATTTTTTTCTTAAATTATATTTTGCCAAAATGGGAAAACTTAATTGAAACTATGTACATGTAATTGAGTAAAATCTGAACACAGTATACTATATCAAATACCAATGGTTTCAAAGGTCTAAGTCTCTCATCAAGTGAGATTTGAAATCTGAAAATTGTCATTAACAAAACTAAGACACGTACACCAAACATGCCAATGCTAATTGCTAAATAGAGTGCACACGCTAAAATTTCTGGCATGCTTTTACTGATCATGATTAAATTTACGTCAAAGACTAGTCTCTGCGCCTTTGTCCAGACAGGGCATGAAATTTTTTTGAAAATTCAATGCTATTTTACATTCTGTCATGCATGGTCCAGTTATCCCAACATCTTTCTGGAACTTTACACTTATTCATGCTAGCATGCAAAATAACAGTTCTTGGATGTCAAACAAACAGCTTTTAAATTTATTTGTACAATGGCACCATTGAACATAACAGGTGGAAAAAGGCTACATTTTTGTAGCAACATGTATTGCAAAGCTTAAGATTAGTTAAAATACATCAATGATCATGCTTGTCAAGTGTTGTTAACATTTAATCTTACATGTATATTTTTACAGACCGCACATTGCATTCAGAGTATACGGCCATACATGTGTATATATATGGCCTAAAAAATATGTCTTCAACCCTAACTTTAAGTGCCTTCCCTACAGATTTTTTGTCATTTTTTAATAAGCATTGTAATGTTTTCCTTGTAGAAATAAGTTAAAACAATTTTTGAAAAATAAAATAATTCGCCTTCCATGTGCATGTACATATTCGGACATTATGCTGTTACACCACTGTCCGAGGTTAGGGGAGGGTTGAGCGCTCACAAACATGTTAAACCCCCGCCTCATTCTTTATGAGCCTGTCCCAATTCAGGAGTCTGTAGTTCAGTGGTTGTCGTTGGTTCATGTCTGTCATATTTGTTTTAGTATATTAAAATTTTATAAATTATGCCGTTGGTTTCCCGTTTGAATTATTTCACATTATTCACGTAAGGGCCTTTTATAGCCGACTATACGGTATGATTTTTTTCTCATTGTTGAATGCCGTACGGTTGCCTATAATTGCTTCCATCCACTTCATTTGAACTCTAGTGGATAGTTGTCTCATTGGCAATCGTACCACATCTCCTTATTTTTACATAAACCTACTCACCCATATATTTTTCAGCATGTTAGCAGAACAGTTTTTTTTAGTTTACTATTTCCTGAATGATAAAAATTATGAGCCCCAACCATAACGTTTAAATGATGATAATTTCCTTACCATTAAATTTTGACAAACATATCAATTCTTATATTTTAGTTTAGAAAATACACCTTCCCCAACCTGTCTTTTCTCAAAAGATACAATATTTGACAATTAGTCACTAACAAACAGAAAATCAGTAAAGACAATTAATTAAGCAAGTGTGGAAAGATAAGACACGGAATGTCTATTTGGGATATAAACATTAGGGAAAGAGAAATCTAGTCTACTGGTCTTGAATTACTGTTGTACCATATCAACGGTTTCCAAAAGATAGGTTTAGCACCTACGATTCAATAAAATATTTGCAACGAAAAGTGCCATAGGCAAAAAAAAAATGTGGTTCTTGTTACGTCCTGAAAAAAAATAGGGTCTAGAATGCCAAATCATACAAAGTATAAACATAGAGTTTGTGCTATATAAGTGATTAAATGTTATATTTCACCAGAAAATGTATTATATGTCTCTGATTTCACATACACATATCCGAATTTATACCTGCTGCATTTGCAAAGTGCTGTGTCAAAAATAATTGGTTTAATATAAATCCGAATTTCTATTTCATCATGACGATTCTATATTTTAAATAAGATCTTTATTTATTCCTTAAACAAACTTAATTTTTCATTAATTGAAATTGTTATTTATTATATTTGTGTATTATAATCTCATTGCATTTTACCGAAAGTCATAATTTAATTAAATTAAGGTTCATCAATACAATTTAACAAAAATAATTGTGTTTACACCATGAAATTTCTCCTAGTCCTGACAAACCTGTGTAATTTAAAAAGTTTTAAAGCCTGGCAGCACCTAGCTAGATAAATAAATGTTACATCCATTTTATGTTTTAAAAAATTAATAAACAGCTGCGCCACGAGCGCATGATACGCCTGTCGTCTTGTGTGTGAGGTTTTAAGCAATAATCATAAATCGTTCTTGAGATACGGCGCGACATGTGAAACCCCCCTTTTTTTACAAAAAACTCAATAACTCTAAAATAAAATTTTGAATCATCAGCAAGAAGTATACAGATCTTTAGATTAATATAACTAAGAAGTGTGTAAAGTTTTAAGCAATAATCATAAATCGTTTTTGAGATACGGCGCGACATGTGAAACCCCCCCCCCCGTTTTAGTTACACAGTCCCGTAACTCAAAAAGTGTTAATCTTATTTTCACCAAAAAGTATACAGATCGACCATCATAAGAAACAACAATGTTAAGTTTCATGAAATTTGGATAAGTCGTTCTCAAGTTACGGTGCTTCATGTGGACCACGGACAGACAGATGGACGCCGTACATTTGTATACCATAATACGTCCCATTAAAATTTTGACGGGCGTATAAAAACCTTTATGGATTTTGATGAACATTTTCTTTCCTTGCCACAGAAAATGGTGAAATAAACAAACACCTGAGTTTTCTTTGATACAGTCCACTCCTTTACACTATTTAAATCACCTTTGTTGTGTAGATTTCTATTGTCCATTTCAATCAATATGATACAATACAATCATACCTAGGGGGACCATCTCAAAGATTTCACCAGACTTTGTTTATTTTTACACCACCAGCGGCAAGGAAAGAAAATGTTTAGCAAAATCCACAAAAGTTTTTATTTTTTTAAAAAACAAAATGAATACAACTTGTATATATATCTAGGTGCTGCTAGGCTTTAAGACTTTTAAAATTACAGTTTTGTCCGCACTCAAAAGAAAATTTCATGGTGTAAACACAGTCATTTTGTCAAAGTGTATTGATGAACCTTAACAATCAGTAATGTAAATTTAACTATTCAAATTTTCAACAATAGACAGATGCATGTCTAGGTAAAATGTCAAGCTCTATATTGTACCAAGTCTAAAAGTTGTGATCTTGAATTGTCTATATAGACGGTCCGACCGGACCAATTGTCTTCATAGACGGTCTGCTTTGTCTTTTTCATATATAGTATAATACTCATTTAATCATTAAACATGTTTAGATTGTCAAAACTCTCCTTTAATACACCATATGAGTTGGCATTATAGACAGCCCGAACTGTCTTGCACCCTCTGGTTTTACCAGGCTGGGGATCATACACACGACCTCCCGCACTTGATGTGAGCATGCTACTGTCAGTACTGCTAGACCATAGAGGCAGTCCCATTTTAAAATAGTTGAATTTGCTTTTAAAAAGTCCTAGGGCAACTATTGCAATGGACAACCACTTTTAATTTACAGTAGTATTTTGGTTGTAAATTTAGATGATGAAGCACTATGACAACTTTCCTAGCATGATCTCGTGGTAATTACCTTGGGCCATGTTGGATGTTGTTATATTTATATTATAAATTATTTTTTCGTTACCGTAGGAAGTTGTATACTGTTAAACCAAAAGGATGTTGATAAATTATTGAAATGTGAATCCAGGACAAGAATATTACCAATTTTGAAACATCACTATCGAAAAAAACACTGTTCCATAAACAATTACTATTTCTAAGTTTTCTTACCAATTATGAAACACAAAAAAACGTGGCTTCTCTGCAGTTGAACAAAGCGCGTAAAAGAC